TTTCATGGGTGGTCAGAGTAGAAGTCGCAATGGCAGAAGAAGAGGAGAAGATATGATGCATCCACTTAAGTGAGTATCTTGCTACTGTGACGCTTGCTTCAGTCTCTAAAAGGCTGAAGGAGGAGCTGCTTTGATAATTGGAGACATTTGGCTTTCATAAAAAGCATTGCTGTTTATTGTGTGAGTGTAATAAATACATAGACTCACTTCTGGCTTTGAATATTCCCTTCTAGATCTTGGTAAACGTTCACAGAAACAGATTTGCTTGAATTGTTTTGAAGGGAGTTGTCTTCAGTAATTTCCTGAAAGAGCAGTGTATATGGCTGACATTTCAAGTTTAAAGATAAATATTTGATTTTTCTGGTATTTAAATTTCATTTAAAAATAATAATAAAGTGTAAATGTTGTGAATTATTGATTTAGTAGAAAGTGATTTGATTCTAAACATGACTGAATTTATTCAGTGGGAGGTAACCCTAATAGTAACAGTAGTAATAGTATATTTGAACCTAGAAATTGTCTATGAAGATAAATGTGAAAAATTGCTTCCCCTCCCCTGCTCCCCTTCCACTTTGCCTCAACTTCTGTCAGGAACACAGGGATTTTTATTTTCTTGGTTAATCCATAGATTGGTGATCCTGCAGCTTCTGAGCATCTTAATATTGTGACACGCTAAGTCGTACATTGCCCAGAAGGCAATGAACTTGACCTACTTTTTCATCAGAGTTCTAGCCTCATGTTCACTGTTAATTTATTTTTCTTTAGTTATTTACATTTCTTGGATGTTCAGACCCTCAAAATGAATGAAATTTAGTTTAGTATTTTCTACTAGTTGAATATTTTTTGAAAAGCAGAGGCATGCATGGAGCAGCTTCATTAGGCATTTATGCCTTTTGCTTTGGACCTATGTGAAAAGTGCACTAATTACACAGGGTAGAAGATACAAATTGCACATTAGTTTTAGCAACCTTTTATCACCATTTTGTGTAAGCAGCTGACTTCTGCAGCCTGGGCAGTAGCTTTCTCTGACCTCCCCTTAGCTACTCTTCAGGCTGAGAAACTCCTTCTTGCCAAGAGTGCGGAAGAACTTAGCAAAGTCTGGGATGCATTTTTGCTGTTGGTTGTTTACCTGCCTTGTCTAGAAATTTGTACTGCACATCCAAATACAGATCAGTGCATACATTGATGGGGGGGACAGGGGGAAAGGGTAATTTTCACATGTAAGAGGGTTATTCTTCTTAGACAAGATGTCTGGGTTCAAATAAAACATTCAGGTTAGGCAATGATTACATGCTGCTAGGTTACTATTAGGGTTGAAGGTTGTTGCCTCCCATTGAACAAGTTCAGGCTTGTTTATAATCAAATGAATTTCTGTTATTTAGGTCAGTCAGTGCACAAGACCTAATAACATTTTGAAATTTAAGCACTGGACATCAAAGACCAACCTGTAAATTTTGAAATTTTAACCCACATATGCTACCCTTTCAGGATACTTCTAATTTTGGAGGGGTTTGTGTTTGGTAAAGTGTTAATGAGAACATATTTGCTTAGTTATTCCTGAACATTGACACTAAGCAATGTTTTCTAGTGCAAAATAAGATGCATTGAGTTGAATTTACTGTTGACTGACTTAATTTCCCCAAAGTTTTCAGAAAATTCTAGAGTACAGCTGTTAGACTATTACTTTTTGGTAGCTTCAGTGTACAAATAACAAAGTTGTTAATTTTTGAGGTAACCTAGAGATGACTTAATCCAAATACTGGAAAAAACATTGACTACTCGAGTAGAAAGCAGGAGGGGGGTGGGGTGCAGCTTATTTAAAGAAAAAAAAAAAAAACAGCAGCAGCTATCTTGGGCATTCTCACCTCTTATACAACTGTGTTTTTTTTTAACCCATACACTTTAGTTGCAGCTCTGTTCCACCATAGCAATGCACTGCATCACCTTACAGCTTGCTACGGCAACATAGCGATCACATGAGTCTATGTGACTGGCAGCTACTTTGCTGTAGCGGCAAATGCTCCCATTTTAGTGGGCTGTTACAGCAAAAGAGCAGCGAAAAGTAACTGCATGCATGGCACAATATGGGCGGTTACTGCACTGTCTTCCATATTTCGTTTTGAAAGCACGGTGCAGTAACGAAGTTGCCATAGGGCAACATGTAGGCATGCCCAAAGTGTTCTAAATCAGTAGGCAGCGTGGACTCTCGAAGAAAGGATGGGAATGCCTTGAAACCAGTCTTTCTTGTGATGGAGCCACCTGACACTTAATTTTTCTCTCTTCAGAAGATATTACTGATCTGATTTCTGTTGGTCACTAACAGCTAGCCTTAGTTCTAACTTCTGCTGCCTAAATAAAACGTCCTTCTCATGGGTACATCTTGAGGAGTATAGTTTCTGTTGAGGTTTTTGCCAAACTCAAAACTGACTTCCAGATACGTCTAACATCCATTTTAAAAACCCCTCAGCATTGTTATGTTCTAATAGTGGCTTTTTAATGGCTTTTGCTGTTACCCTGTCACCTTGTACTTCTCTAAACACTATCTATTCTGTGCCTACATATACAGATGGGTGTTATCTAAGGTGTTTGTTTCTTTGTCCTATTCTGTTAAAAATGACATCCCCGTAATCATCATTCGTTGCTAACACTGGAAAACATGTTTTATGTTTTAGAGTATCTTTAGAAGATCTATATAATGGAAAGACAACTAAACTACAACTTAGCAAGAATGTCCTTTGTAGTGCATGTAATGGGTAAGTTGTCTTTAATTTTTGTTCTTGTTTGACTTTTTTCATATCTATGTAAATAAAAAGTTATATTTTTTAAGTTTTAGAATTTTTTGTTGCTTGCTTCTTATTAAATGTAATGCTGCTTAAAATAAGTTGGCATAAAATATGTCTCTACTGTAAGTTGTGTTTTAACCAAAAAAAATTGGTTTCTGGTGACACCACTAAAATCAGACTTTGTATAATACCTACAGACAACCCCCGCTTAGCGCTGTTTCACTATAACGCTCATTTGAAATTGATACCTACTTTCACTTAGTGCTCAGCAAGTTTTGTTAACTCTCATGGTTGCCATCTTGGGTCATTAAAAACCATTGTGGTCGCCATCTTGGGTTATCAAATACTCTTGGTTTCACTTAACACTTGTTTTGCTTAATGCTCTTTTTTTCAGGAACCAGTTAAGAGCACTAAGCGGGGGTTGCATGTATTTGCTATGTGTTTTTGAAATAACTCTAATTGGTACCTTCTAATTTAGCCAGGGTGGAAAGTCTGGAGCTGTTCAGAAATGTAGTGCTTGTCGGGGTAGAGGTGTACGTATCATGATCAGACAACTGGCTCCTGGAATGGTTCAGCAGATGCAATCTGTGTGCTCTGATTGCAATGGAGAAGGTAGGCCAATTGTTCTATGTTCTCTTAAATGTTTAAACTGGCTAGAATCTAGATTTTGGCATGTGTTAAATTGCATTTTATTTGGAGAGATGCTAGGTTAGATTCCATTTGTGAGTAACGAATTTGATTGTGCTCTGCTTTCTAAAGGACTTTTTTTTTGTGTAGCCACACATCAGCATAACTTGGCAAATCTGGTGTGCTTAGGGAAAGCTTTAGCCTTGAATAACAGGTGCTACTGCTTGAAAAAATGTGCAGATGCATGCACAGTTCTGCTGTTTTGGTGCTATCACTCCTTGATGAGCATTGTAAAAGCTATTAGCCATGCAGCTATGGTAGCAGCTTGACTGTATCTTTGCAAGCTGAATTATCAATCATTCTTGTTCAGAAAAGAAATATTTTAAAATAGTTACAGCTGAAACAGTTCCGCAGCTTCCTGAAAGAGGGGAAAACAATTATTTGTGCTGGTCATGTTTGGGGAGTAAGCTTAGGACTCTCTGCTTTTGTGCCTTTTACTATGTTTTTTGACCTACCTGAATATTGAGTAATGACAGTTTTTGCGGGGGGGGGTTGGCAGGGTGCATGCTTATTTTTTAACATGACTAGGCAAACTTCTTGGCAAACAAGAAAAAATATTTTCTTATTTCTCCCATTATCGTTACTGTCTTGATTAATCTAAAAAGTTTAGGTACAGTTGTATCCAAATGTTGCATCAAATTTTGTTTCATAGATACATGGCTCTAAGTTGTGGCTTGTTAATTGCTTAAAACATTTGCTTCTGCTTGTAGTACTTCAATAAAAGTAGCAATACATACTATACTGAACGCCAGAATGCTTAGGTCATACAGTCCATTTTGCCTAGCACTTTCTGGTTATTCTGGTCTAATACAATGCAGGCAATTCAGCTGAAAAGCAAGACCAAATGGATTAAAAAACAAAAGCCCGTTTCTAGAGTGTCTCCTATGAAAAGCAAAGCAAAAGTTCTTTGATCTTCAAAGTGCAAAATACTTTGAATTAAGACCACCTACACTTTGAATATCTGATCTTTTTGAAGAATGTCAGTGGTGCTGTCACACCAGAACCCCTGCCAGGTATGCAGGTAAAGGCATGATGGGACCTGATATGTGATCCACACAGTTGTGCTTCTTGCCATGCCACACATGCATCACAGGAGGCATGATTAGGATTGAGCATCAGATTCTATCACACTGTATTGCTGATGCAGGGGGAGCCCAGGATCCCAATCCTGACTCCCCTTATACCAGTTAGCAGCAGACTCCTGCAACTGGGAGCCCTGTCAGCTGACCAGGTCCCAGGTGTGGTGTCAGACCTAGCCATGTGTTCAATTAAGGTCATGGTAGGAACAAGCTGCAAAATTTATTATACTTTTTTTGTGGAATAACTTTTGTGGCTTGTTCTGTGTTTTGTGATGCCATTAATTGCTTTAGCATATGGCCAAATTACAGCTTAACATGTGAGTAACTGGTTAATCGTGTCTTGGGTGTAATGTGTGGGAGGGGCCTAGGTTGTAATGTGATCTGCTGTCTTCCTGTCCCTCCCTGAATGCCTAGAGCTTCTTGCATCCTCCTCCTAATAAGATACTACCACATCCCACAGGAGGAAAACAGTAACACAAAACAAAACTCTTAAGGGTCTCTGAAACTGGTTCTCTTAGTACCATTTATTTTAATGTATAAGTCTATATTCTCAAGAAGTTTTTAAAAAAAGAAAGGAAAAAATAATATAATTCTTTTTTCTCTAGGTGAAGTGATTAATGAAAAAGATCGTTGTAAAAAGTGTGAAGGAAAGAAGGTGATCAAAGAAGTAAAGATACTTGAAGTTCATGTAGATAAAGGCATGAAACATGGACAGAGAATTACATTTAGTGGAGAAGCAGATCAGGCCCCAGGTGTAGAGCCAGGAGACATTGTCCTCCTGCTCCAAGAAAAGGAGAATGAGGTAACTTGTCATTTGGTACTGGAATTTGTTTTTTAACTGGAATTGAAACCTCCTCAGATATCTAACAGAGGTACTGATATTGTTGCCTGAAGATGTTGTACAACTGGGAGGAGAAAGGGACACTTTAGACAGGGAAAGCTGTCTTGTTTGTAATACATACATAGGCTGTTGATGTGCAGCTTCTTTGTTTTATTATGGTCATAAAAATAACTTTTTAAACTGTAGCAAGGTTACCTTACACAGACTGCAAAAATGCCTTTAATATATGTATGGGTCTGCTTCAGCTTGGCATTAGCATGTACAACTGTGTATAAAGCCAGTATTTGACAGTATGTTAGTTGAAAGATTGGGAAACATCTCTTCATAATCCTGCCTTGTGGTGCATTTACACTGTGTTCTGGGAATGTCCTGTCACATCCCCATGTGTATACACCAAACCCAGAAGAGCCATGGTGAGGCTGATTTGTGCTTGGAAGCAGCTCCCATGGCTGCCCTGACAGTAGCCTTGCCACTGCTTGTCTAGATTGAGGAAGGGGCAAGGGACTTAATGTGTACCTACCTAGTTTCCTGTTTCTGTTGATGTAGGTAGCATTCACTTTTGATTCTGGAAATGCAAGCACATGCCTGCAGTGGCTCAGGCCATAAGCCTGGGGGTGATAGAGTAAGTCCTTCCTTCCCTTCCTCAGTGGCCCAGTGGGGAGAGGCTGAGCTGAGGGGAGGGGGCATGGTCAGGCCCCAGCAGGCCTGAGTATGATTGCAGAAGGATTTAAACCCCTACCCTGGCCTGCAGGGACCCCAGCCGGGGTGTGCGTGGAAGGGTAGGGGTAAAGCAGCCCTTGCCAGGCTGGGGGGTGGCAAGGGCATGGCCAGACTCCAGCCTGGCATGGCCCTTTAAGGTGAAGGGTGCACAGAGGGAGGTTATTTTCCCCCCTTTCCCACTGGGACCCCAGCCAGGGCATGTGTGGCTGGGGCAGAGCAACCCGTCAAGTATTTCTCCCTTCCCCTGCCCCCCCATGCCCTTGCCTCTTGCGGGAGACGGGCTGTGCTGGCCAGCCCTGTCCGTATGCTGAAGTGAACAGGGAGAGAGAGGGGGGATTCAATTCTCTGCCCCCCTCCTTCCATCCCTGCTGCTCCAGGGGCAGGGGCATGACCAGATGGCAGCAAGCATGGCAAAGATTTACCCTGCCCCACTGGGGGACTGCATCTGGTGTCTGCCAGCCCCATCTGCCACCTCCGCCACTTGCACCCAGACAGGCAGACCCCAGCTGGGGTCCATGCCACTGGCATGGGAAGGAGGGGAAGATTAAATCCTGGGCAGCAGCACTAGGAGTGGTGGCGAGGGGGGTGTAGAGACTACAGCCACCCCAAAGTTCACCATAGGTGTTGTTCCCCCCCACCCCCATAGCAGTGCCACTGCCACCCACCCTGAGTGCAGCCTGTCCCAGCTCCCCTACCAGGAAGAGCCAGCACCAGCCTCAGCCTGCAATGGCAGCCTGCCCTCACCCTGCACACAGATCGGGGGGCAAATGACCTGCCCCCCTATGCCTTCCTGGGGTGCACGTAGCTGTGGAAGCTGCACTCTCTGGACAAGCTGCAGCTCTGTCCCCTGCCCCAGCTGGGCAGTGCCTGCCTGTACCTGTGCCCTTGCCCCAGCCTCACTCCTTCCCTCACTGCAGTAGCCTCAGTGTGCCCCCACTCCTTCCCCCACAACAAACTTAGCAGCCAGATGCTGCTCTCCAAGCTGCCATATTGGCAATCAGATCCATATCGGCCAATATGGCTCATTAAAAATCGGCCATCGGTATCAGCCCAAAAAATCTGTATCAGTGCACCCCTAACCTTTTGGATGCAACTAGGTGAAGGGGAAAGGCTACAAATAATAAGCAGTATAACTAGTGCTACTTCTGCCTCTATGTAGTTGACAACTTGTACTTCGGGGTGGAGAATTTCTCAGTCTTGGTGCCTTGAGCTGTTTGGTGCTATACCATATAAACCTAGTTGTCTGTTGCTTTGTTACAGCCTGTTTTACTAGTAATTCTTATAGTTCAGCCCTTGGTTTCTTCTAAGCAAGAATAACTATCTTGCAGCATATGTACTATTTTTTTAGTATGTTTGAAATCCTCCTGGTGGGAAGTGGTGAGGAGTGGAAAGAGACGCATTTAAATAGTTTGACTTGCACTTAAGGATCATTTAAGGCAGCTGATTGTTCAACAGATAGCAGCTGAAGAAATAGTCCACAACAGGTTATGTCTTAAAGACTGGGAGCAATGTTAATTTAATATATACAAGAGAAGGACAATTCCTACTTGTCTAATTTTGGAATTCTTTCTTGTGGATCTTGTGCTGTAATTAATTTTGTATGCCGAATCTGCTTTGCTCCATTGGAGAAGTACTTGGGACTTGCTGCTAGAATTAAGTATCTCTGAGCCTTCAGTTTCATGTTGACTTCTTGGTTTTAAACTGGAAAAAGGACAAAAATAGTGAACATAAGTGCTTTGGATAGATGGTTTTCATCTGCAAACTTGAGACTAAGCAAAATATCATCTAAAGATCCAGAATCTGAAGGCCTACAAATCCTGTCTTTTTGCTCTTGTCTCTGTGTGGAAGATCTTGGAACAGGCAAAATTCGGTCAGTAAAACACTGACTGTAAGGGCTTGATTTATTTTGAATGCATTTAAGTGGGTATATGTTTTTCTTTTCTAAGTGTGAAAAGATGTGACTAAAATATTTTTGGAGTTTTATTCTGACATTAAGTAGTAACATTTGCAAGAAAGCAGCATATTCAGCCCTTTGGATTTAATTACCACAGGATTATATTGATGTTGTTTTGTGCACTTCATTATATAAAAAAAAAATAAAAAATCCTGCAAGTAGCACTGATTAGCGCTCTTTGATTTTCGGTGGAGTTTTGGAGTAGGCATATGGAGTAATAAATTGAGAGGTAGAGAGTGGAGCTGTGACAGTGGTATTAAAAGCAATGTTGTTTTCATTCATAGGTGTTCCAGAGAGATGGCAATGACTTGCATATGACCCACAAGATAGGACTTGTTGAAGCGCTGTGTGGATTTCAGTTCACGTTTAAGCACCTTGATGGACGTCAGATTGTGGTAAAATATCCTCCTGGAAAAGTAATTGAACCAGGTAAACTTTGATTTGCTATAAAAACTTGGGCATGGGGGGTAGAAAATGCCTGACAGGGGTTGCTCTGCCCCAGCTGCACATATCCTGGCTGGGGTCCCAGTGGGAAAGGGGGGGAAAGTAACATGATACTTAAGCCCAGGTCAGAGAGATTCAGAAAAGTGACTGCAAAGGAAAAACTGTTACCTTTTATATCCTTTTTCCAAATTCTAGGGTGTGTTCGGGTAGTTAGAGGTGAAGGAATGCCACAATATCGCAATCCTTTTGAAAAAGGAGATCTTTACATAAAATTTGATGTGCAATTTCCTGAAAATAACTGGATAAGCCCAGAAAAGCTTTCAGTAAGTAGCCCTTAAGTCTGAATGTAGATGTGTTTTACTTCTCTTGTGATTTGTTGTGTATAAGGGACTAGTTTTAACTTCCTCTCCAGTAGTTAAACTTGAATTTGAGCAGCTCAACTGTATTCATTCTTTTTAACATCCTTCACAATGCACAAGTGACTGAAAAGCCTCCATTAATTTGTAAGTTTGAATTAAAAGCCGCCTCAAACATCAACCATAATGATGGATGTAATAAGGTGGCACAGTGATTTTTATGATGCAGCCTTCTGGCCAGTTATGTCATAGGCCATGAAAATTGCACTAATATAAAGGTGCTCCATTTCTACTTTTAAAGTTTCAAGTACTGGAATATTTCTGTATGCTTTACCTGCAATCCCTTCATGTGCAGTTAATAAAGAGTAGATGATTTCATTCCCTTAAAGACTTTAAACTGCTGTTGCTTCTTCATGTAGAGAAGGCCCAAGATGGAGTAACTTGTGTAAAGGAATAACACCTTTGTTTTCTGGTACAGTATTAACTATGCCCCTCTTTGGCAGGAACTTGAAGATCTTCTACCAGCTAGACCAGAATTTCCTAATGTAATTGGAGACACGGAAGAAGTAGATCTTCAGGAATTTGATACCACTCGTGGGTCAGGTGGTGGCCAGAGACGTGAAGCATACAATGATAGTTCTGATGAAGAAAGCAGCCATCATGGACCTGGGGTACAGTGTGCCCACCAGTAAACGTTTGTCTAAAAAGTTGCACAAGGATTTTCTTTCAAATTTTGCCTGACTTGCTTTCAGCAATCCAGACGGATTGTATAAGTAATCCAGATGAACCAATGGACATCTCTTGCTGTATGTGTAACTTTTAAATTGGTCTATAGTCTCTACAGAGTGTAATTTAAACTAACCACAACACTTACATCTTCATTTTGACTGGGTAGCAGAATAAAGCACTTGAAAGGAAGACGAGACTCCTTTTCACATGGGTTTTAAGTTTGTCCTTGTATCTGTGCTTGATTTTTACCAGTTTTGTGTAGATTTTTAAGTTTCTTATTTTAAATTCAAATTCACCATTGTAAAGTTTGTGTACAAGTTGTCCTGAGGCTTGGTATTTGGCTGCACCTGCATAAGCTGCTACAAGTAGAATAAAGAATTTCATAGCCTGTATCTATCATTTAGATGCATGGTAAATGGGCTTTGCACATAATGGGTTTAGAGCTGACTGGGAACAATGGAAGACTAAATTAGAAGTGGTTGTAAGTTTGTTTGGGTTTTTTTTTTTTTGGTTTTTTTTACCATCTTGTGAACAGTTCTGAAACTAAATAAAAACAGTTGGTGTATAATATTTCCTTATCCTTGTTGCATGTATGGGTTGGAAGGTTGTCTTTTTGGTTTGTCCACCCCTCCTCCTCCACTCTGCAAAGAGAAAAGCCCATCATTTTTTCCTGTTCTGTTTTTTTTTAATTTTTTTAACCCCACTCTGAGTCCTTGAGATGGACCAAGGCTGTGTCAGATACTATACAAGACATTCTGACTTGAAGAATTGTTATTGCTGCCTGTTTTGTTAAGAACAGTGTTTTCAAGTTATCTTCAGTGAAACACAGTAAAGCAGCAGCAAGGTAAACTGCTTTAGTAGTTAATTCCACTTTTTACTGGTATCCTGAATCTAAATTAACAAGATTTTGGTTTTCCAAAAATGGAACCAGGAATTCAGAGCTGTAGAAAGGATTTGCTATTTATATGAAGGCCCTACAACAATAACAATAGGGCAATAATACATGTTTTCATGTGAAAGCAAATCTATATTTTGACAATGACTGCGCTGTTTCTTAAGGAATATCTTGAGGCATAGCTCTCTACAATCTATTCCATTCCTCCTGCTGCACGGAAACTCGTAAGAGCTCTTTTCGCCATTGTCCTCAGATTAGCAGTAAGGTTTTGATTATTCTTGC